GGGTGTAGGGTTTAGGGTGTAGTGTGCAGGGTCGCCGTCTCTAGAGCTTTGGGTTTCTAGGATTTCTGGGGTGAGCTTATTGGGTTTTCAGGCTTTCGCCGTTTGGGTTTTGGAGTAGAGACTGTGGGTCTCTTTAGAGCAAAACCTATAACAGAGCAGCTTGAAGATGTACTAGTTGCTAATCTTATTCCGTAGGGCTTCGTACTGTAATTCGTAGCCAATGTACCCTAAACCCTAAACTATTCAAGCCCCGAAACGAGCAGAGTCCAAGCTGAGGGCCCGGTGGACATCCCGAGTCCGAGTGCCGACGAGAACGCCGCCGCCGCTGCTGCCGCTGCTGCTGAGAGCTTGGCCCCAAGAGGGCTGGGGAGTTTAGGGTTTAGGGTTTAGGGTTTCAGGGCTAGGGGGTTTAGGGTTTAGGGTTTAGCGGGGGCTGATCGACAGTTTCGGTTCTCTCAACTTGGCCTGTCAGGACATCCGGCTCATCTGTTCCGGCGCCGGAGCGCCGACGACAGGAGACATAGATGTTGTTTCCCTAAACTTAAACCCCCTTCAAAACCCATGCTAAAGGCCCAAAAGGCTCTAAACCCTAAACCCTGAACCCTAAACCCCCTAAAGCCCTAAAGCCCTAAACCCTCGACATAAGAAAGCTCCTGCCCCAGGGCGGCCGGGACTGGAACGATCGTATTGGAGCCCGCCAGTGCCCCCAAGAGGGCGAGCGCTAGGAAGAACATCTTCCGCGCCGCCGGGGATCCCAGACGCCCAAGGTTTAGGTTTTTCAGATATAGAATCACCCTGAACCCTAAACCCCTAAACCCGAAACCCTAAACCCTAAAAACCCTAAACCCTGAAACCCGAAAAGCCTCGGCCTAAGACCCGAAAACCGTAAACTCAAAGCTCTTAACCCTAAAACCCTGAAGCTCTAAAGCCCTAAAACCCTAAAGCTCTAAAGCCCTGAGCCCTAAAAGCCTGGCATCTTGCAGGTTTCTAGAGGATCCCAATGAAGGAGCCCCGTAGTCCAAGAAAGGCTTCCTCGCCTGAGAGTTTCAGATGCTGATGTGACCGTTCAGGTAGGGTTTAGGGTGTAGGGTGTAGGGGTTTAGGCTTTAGGGTTTAGGGTTTTGGAGGACCTAGTAAGTAAGGTTGTAAGCACCTCCATTGGGGTTAGAAGTAGCTCTAAGTGTAGACCCGTATGGCTCTTCAGCTTTTTTGGCTCACCCTAAACCCTAAACCCTAAACTCCGACACCCTAAACCCTAAACCCTAAACTCCTACACCCTAAACCCTAAACCCTAAACTCCTACACCCTAAACCCTAAACCCTAAACCCCAAGCTCTTCAGCTCTCTGGCTCAAGTCCTCAAGGCGTAGCCATGGCCAAAGGATCCCCTGAATGGTTCGAGGAGACCCTGAAAGCCAGTGAGAAGCCTGGTGGCAAGTGTGGTATTTTGGTGGTTCGGGGTCTTTTTTGGGGTTGAGGGTAGGGCACTTAGGGTTTGCTTTGTTTTTTTAGGGTTTGGGGTTTCGGGCATTTAGGGTTGAGGGTTTACTTAGTTCTTTGGTTTAAGGTTGGGTGTATTTAGGGCTTGGGGTGTGTAAGGTTTAGGATTTAGAGTAGTTCATCTTCGTCGTAGTGCGGAGCCCCCTCCTTCAAGGCTCCGTTGCTTGCCAAGCCGCAGTCCAGGTACTTGTGCCTGGTGTGGTATCGGGGGAAGTGGTGACCCTTCTGCAAGTTTTACGTGCAGGATCTGGAAAAGCTGAAGCCCGACATGGCGACGAAGGGTTTCGCCATTTATGGGCTGGTCTCCCAGCCTCAATCCGAAGCTGACTCGGCAAAAGAGGAGTGGGGCATTTCCTACGACATCATCGGTTCGCCGGACGTGTCTCTGGTGAAGCATCTCGCCGATGAGAAGATCATCGACCTGGTCATCAGCGACTTAGCGGCTGTATAGGTGACCCTTAACTTGCAGGGTTTGTAGAATCCTCTCATCATGGACGTGATTAGGTTTGTATTGTCCTATCATCATTAGAAAGGTCAGCCTTCTTTGGGCCAGGCAGCTCAGCAGAGACCTTGAACCCTAATTCAACCCTAAGCCCTCAACCTAAAACCTTAATTAAACCTTAAGCCCTAAACCTAAAAAACCTAAACCGTAAAACCCTAAACCCTAAAGCCTAAACCCTAAACCCTATGCTAAGGCGAGAAGAAGAACTACCCCAATGGCATGGTGCAGCCCGCTCTTCTCTTTATGCGCCGTTCGGATCGAGCAGTGCTCTTCAGCTGGGCCGTGGCTCCTGCCTTCTGTCACGCGGGTTATCATCTCTTTCGGGGTTGAGGGCCGAGGGTTTGGGGTTTTAGAGGGTTTTGGGGCTTGTTCTTGTTGTTTTTTGGCTTTTTTTCCCGGAGCCACAGACAACTCTAGACCCTAAGCCCCTAAAACCCTAAAACCCTAAACCCCTACACCCCTAAACCCCTAAATCCCTAAACCCCTAAACCCCCAAAGCCCTAAACCCCTAAACCCCTAACCCCCCGAACCCCCCTAAGTTTCGGCTAAGGACTCGTCGGAGTTTGGGTTCGCCAGCTACCGTCCGACCCCAGGCGATTATAGGATCCTAAAGGGAGGGTGGCTCAAGGGGGGAGGGTCCTTAGGGAACCTAAGGGAGGACTAGGGAGAATTGGGGATTACTGGGCCCTAAACGCTAAACCCCCTAAACCC